TAAAGAAATACAATATTTCGAATTTACCTTATTCCGTACACAAAGAGATTGTATATAATTATTCATGACGAACAAGTCGTTAAGAAGATTACATTTTACAGTTGTCCATCTGTAAACCAAAGATCTTACTCATGTATAGCTTGCAATCATTTCAAATAGAGGAACAGGGGAAGTTTTGGGTTTCGTTCACATCTACAGTAAAGAGTTTCTTCTGAAAAAAGAAACTGCGACTTGTCGTGGGGGTTTCCGAAATGATCGGGTCAGCCTTCGATTCAGATTCTTTTGCAAAAGATTTTTTGAAGTGCTATTAAGTTAATTTCACATAAGGTTTCGAGAAAATAAATCAAAAATGATGTTAAATATGCAATACCTTGTAGGATTTTTTTAAGCCGATTTTGAATAACATCGGAATCAAAATTAAAAGCTTGGTTCACCAAGTTGAACCCCAAAAGATTGTAAAAAAAACACGTTTATCTGCTTTGGTTATTCAGTGAGAATAAACACATTTATGCGACATGGTTGAGGTAAAAAAAAAACTTTTTAAATGAATGAACGATTTCCTTTGCCTTTCCATTTAATAAGATAAATGAAATTATCTTGATAAAGTATGATATGGGTGTCAAAGTTGACATGTGATGTAACTGTTTACTTTTTGTTCACTTTTTTTCCTTTGTTTTTTCCTTCATCCGTTTTCAAATTGTTGGTTTTGTTTTTATGATTTTCAAAAGTTTTCCATCAAAAAAGGAAAACGAAGTTATCGCTCGTGAAATTACAAATTATCATGATGTGCATCTTGGATGAAAATGTATCGGTTCATCTTACATGTAGTTTTTTATCTTACCTTGTGAGAGTGCCTCTAAAATCGTATTTATTTTCGCACATAATTTAGAAAGTCGATGTCTAGTTGAGTAGTATTTGATTTATAACTGATTATGAGCTAAATTTCAATCAAGTCGAATAAACTCGTGTTCAGTTTGTGGTCGATTTTTAATGCTCTCGATGAAAGCAAATCAACAGCTGGAAATCTTTCCAGATAATCTTTCACTCGCTTACTCATTTTATCGATGGAGTCTGTGAAGAAAAGACACGGAAAGTAATAGGTTTCTGTGGTACAACTTACGGGAAACGAGACATATGTAATCTTGAAATCCTTCCTATCTTTATTTCTGTTAGCTTTTTGGTTGTTTTTGGGGGTTTTTTTGTTTTTGTTTTTTTGCGATGTCATTCCAAATTTTTTTCTTAGTGAACGCGAAAGTGACACCTCAATTAGTTATAGATTTCGCAACATAGTCGTGAATAAATTTGATCGCTTCAGAGAACTGAAACAAGAGTCGATATCCCTGAGAGATTTTAGGTAATTGCACATTGCGAGGATCGAATTAAAAGAAAAAATAAGCTATAGATTTCGCAACATAGTCGTGAACAAATTTGATCGCTTCAAAGAACTGAAACAAGATATTCCTAAGAGATTTTAATTAACTGTGCATTGCGAGATCAAAGAAAAGTAGAAAAGGTAGGAAAAGGTTGCATTTGAAGAAAATAATACATTCGAATTTGAAATTCAAAAGAAAAGTTGAAACTCAAATCTTCAGAAAAATTTTAAAGTTTACTTTTTTTTTGAAAAAAAATAGTCGTACGTTGAATCACAAAAACAGCTGGTGGCAAATGCAAAGCTCAATATCTTTTCTCTCACGGAATAACAACTTTAAGGGGAGCAGCAGCATTTCTTCATTGCATTGCATGTACCTATGTACCTTTTTTCTTTAAAACTAACTATTAAAGGAGCCACTTACTCGAGCTATTCAATCTTATATATCGTGGAAGTTTCGCGCTTAGGGTAAAATGACTGTTGCATGACCTAATAAATGTCTTCATTAGCATAACTTTAGCTTAATGCTGGGCACGAACTTAAGGTGAATATCTTCAACAGCAAACTAGATATAGCCTCAGCATACAAATAAGCACGGAGGTACCTCACGATAGCTTTTTGTCATAAAACCAAAAAGCTTCTTGCTGACATTTGGAAAACGCCTATCCAGGAACAGAATAGAAATATTCTTAGGCGATTTTAAAAAGGAAACCAATCTGATAGAGCGCTGAAATGTAATCAAACAAGCGATTTCCATATTTTTTCTTTAAAGAATTCTTTTTTTTAACCTTTTAAACTTAGGGATTTTTATATGAAAGATGTTGTTATTCAACAAACAAGTAATATTGATTGCACTCTGAGCTCTTTTTCTTCGACTATTTAATTGTAGTGAGCTGTGTTTTCAGATTATTAAATTACAAACATATCTATAAGTACATGTATTTTTTGAAAACAGTTAGACTCTACAAAGAAATTTTTGGCAGGTGCTGCAACGAGGTCGTTCGAACGTTATTACGTAATTGTATATATAAGTGACGAGTGTATCATCTGGACCACTTGGGTAGTTGACGGAAGAGAATCTCTCTGTCAGTGGAAAATGCCATCTTGTGAATGAGAAGTAAAGGAAAATGTTGATCGTATTCTGAACTGATGGAAAAATATGAAGAAAATTGAACTGGCTAGGTATAAAGGGTAAAAAAATCGTAGGGAAAACGGAATAAATCAACCTATCAACTGGTGTGAATGGGGCAAAATTTAAAGAAAGCGCTTAATTGCGAAATACTTTGTATTGATTTTATTTCATTCATTGCTAATTCAAGCGGCTGGTATCCTGTTGGATAATGGTTTATACAGTAAACAATATAGATGTCAAGCCCCAATTTATAAATAGGACAAAACTAAGGAAAAAACTCTAAACGGTTGACTATTAAAGAACCTCATGTTTATTAACTACAAATCAGCTTGAGAAGGGTTGAGGCGCATGAAAATCTCATGATAAAGTTATATCATATTTGTTGCCTCAGTATAATTGATAATTATCCTCATCCGTGCACGATAACTCACTATTAAATATTTTGGTAGATATAACAGATATTCCAAACAGCTATTAATTTTATTCCGCTTATCTAAAATTTAGCTCATCAAGAAGCTTGGCGGTACACAGTACATCCTAATGTAGACCAAAAAACAAATGAAAAATATTAAATTGTTTTATCGCTAATACCAGCTTACTAATGTGATATTTCGATTTCAATAGGAAATTACGGCAAAGGAAAGGTTGATCGTCTGATAATTGTAATTGCGAGGAAATAAAAGAGATGTAGGAGTCAGCTGAGGTGAAACATTTCTGAAATAAAAGTTAACTTTTATTTATGCCCCCGCTCAGCTCAAGTGCACTTAAATTGAATTGCGTAACTTTTACATCTACAGTCTATTTTGAGCTTAGAATTAAAGCTTGCAATGTTTGTTTACACATCATTTCTTGATCACAAAGATTTGAAAACAAAAAATAAGCTGCCATAAGCCTAAGCACGTAAAGAAATTATCGCTAAAATTTATTTTACTGTCATATCGCTTTTTAACCAAAATTCATAATTAATAACTGTCCTTTCAAAAACGTTCAAACAATTCTGAAATTGCGCAAATAGTATTTTTTTTCCACAAAACCTTTCCATTTACTTTCCAGAAGCTTGAAAGGATGCTAATTTTGGAGACATATGCATGATACACGACAAGCATATTTTAAAGTGTTCCAATTGCGTCATACTAGAGTAAAATCTTTTAGGATAAGACGGAAGACGCCAACGTTTTGTTGACATACAGCAAATTTGTGTCTTTGCGTCATAGTTAGTGCGTAATGATCGCAAGGAACACAGATGGGTTTGGACGGAACATTTGACAAGTTGCGTCAGAAATTATTTTCCGTTCGTTGAAAATTGATGTCAGTTGAACATTGAAAAAATAAGGAAAGCAATAATGATTGCTTGCCAAAGTAAACAAACTTAAGTAATTAATTAATTAATTAAGGATGATGAAGATTAAAATGAGTCTCAGATGATAAACTTGACAAGTTTTTGCGGATTTGTATAAAGTGCAAGTTACCAGCCTTTAGTGTGGAGGACACCTAATAGAAATGTTTCTAACAAACGAGGAATTAAATATGTGGTAAGCTTGAAATAGCGAGTTTTACAATGTGCAAAACTAGATTTAGCATTAAGAAAACCAAAAATATGATTTTGGTAAGACGGGAAAAAAACAACATCGAAAAGAATTTGCCAAGTGAACGAGTATTGTTAAGGATGGAGAAGATTTAAAGGATTGGAAATAGCTAACTTGAAAAATTTTGGCAAATATAATAGATGCTCTTATCATAACAATAATGCCTCTTTAAAGCATATTTGAAAGACTGAGTCAGGCCGCCTACTCTCACTGCTTGTAAATTAAGATTAAAAAGGTCATGACCAAATAATGATGATAAAAGCCGTTTCCTGGCAGCCGAGGACTTTTTTAAGCGACTTAACTCGAGACTTAAGACATGAATCAAACAAGCATGAAAATGAGAACAAGCATCGACCTTGTCGTTCGATTTTAACATTATTTCTTCAACCTTCACGCGAATGACAGACTGCAATACTATGCATTTGCTGTCCGCTTCCTGACTTTTCATGCAAAAATGTTCACGCTTGTTAGGAATTGGAGATATTCTGCTAGTTTTTCAATTTCATCCTCTCTTGGTATCAATCAATCAGAACTAGTTGGCTTTCATCCTCAGTGCTGTTATAAACGTCATTGCCAAAATAAAAGCTATCTACTATCATTTTCGATAAGACTTGGGTATAAGCTTTGTAATATAACAACAGAGAAGGTCGGTCTATTCCTACGTCACTAAAAATACTGAGTGAAAGCGTTTGGTGTGTTCAGAAAAGTTTAAGACATGATCCGTGCTTCGTAAGAGGAACTTCACTCCAACTCAAAAGACTCTTAGTCTTATGGTCATCTGGGTGCTTCGTTTTTCACCTTTAGTTTTATTTGGTTTTATATCGCTAACAATACTGAATAAAACCGTGTGATGTGTTCGAAAAAGCTTCGGCACAAAATCTGTGCTATGTAAGAGAAACTGGTATTCAGTGGCTCAAAAGTCTCGAGGTCTTATTTTCATTTGAGAGCTCTTCAATGAATAACGAAAATCTTTAAAACCCTTCCAAATAATGCCTTCGCCTTTAAAAGAGTTAGGCCCATGTATGTAAGGACCATTCAAAAAAGCCCTGTGACACTTCTTAAACCACCATCCACCATGGAAGTCAAGGGCACAGTTCCCATCGGAACTGAAATCGTTGTCTTCATCCGGAGTAGTAAATGGCCAGCCATGATGATGAGAGAAGGAGTCACCAGCGGTTCCTGAGAAATTTACCAAAGCAAAAACCAGGAAAGTATTTAAAAGTTATACAGTCTTCAGTGGCGGATCCAGACCTTGAGCAAACGGGGAGGGGGGCAATTTTTTTTTTTTTTTTTTTTTTTTTGTCGCTAGCCCGGCCGGCTTTACTTCCTTCTGCGATTCTTTTCCCTTTTTACCCAAAATAAGGAGGGTATAAATATATATGTTGTATAAATAAGGTTTAAGTTTTTACATTTCCTTCCGCGCTTATGAATTCTTTTTCTGCATCCACGCTTGTTTGAGCTCAATTTACTAGAGAAAATATATATACAGCTACCAAAATGGCTTCGAGTACACAATTAAAGTAGGTGGTGTGAAGGAAGTAAGAAATGAAATCAGAAGACGACACCGACAGGGTTAATAACATATCTCAATTATTCCGTCTCAAGAATCAGAATCCTTCAAACACTATTTTATCAGCAAAGGCTGAGAAGGAAAAATAAAAAAGGGATCTCGTGAATATCTAAATCGTTTACTAAATGATTGTCGAGTTTCTTTTTACTAGAATAAACCGCTGGGCTTAATACTTCCCTAACAATGTTCTGTACAGTAGTAAGATTTCCGTCTCTGTTTGTGTTGAAATTGATGTTGTTAGCTTTTCTGCACAATGTGCGTTTAAATTAGTTTAGTCACCTGCTGTGTTATAAGAACCAAGGATCAACTGATACTTGTCATGTTCACTCCTGACACCAAAAAAACTGTATTCGGCGTAAGCAGTTTTCCCTTCGAAGTCCTCCATGTCTACTCGTAACATGCTGTTATTATCTGAAGTCAGGCGATGAATCCTGTCTAAGCCAAGCCAAAATTCGCCACGGAGATTTCCAAAGCCATGCTTATAATCGCTCCAGTTGAGATTGAAGTCAACGGAACCGTCGATTCTTTTCTGGAATACCGTCCATCCTCCACCAGCTGTTGTTTGGTCGCAGAAGACATCAAAAGCTGACTGGTTGTCAGGTTTGATGACGTACACACCGTCTCTTTTTTCGCCTGATTTAAAGATGTCTGCGCAATTTCTGAAAGCTAGAATAAAAAAGACAATCTAATCGCGTATATTAAGCTGCAAGCAACAATGTATTGACTGGATTAGAACAGTATGTTCACTGATGACAGCAATAAATAAAATGGTAGATTTAGACACAGAAGTGTTTTCCAAACGATATCGGTTCGAAAGAATTGTAATTAAAAAAACGTCAGCTTTAAAACTTTTTGCGTTAACCAATTTCTGCGTTATTAACTCAGTTGATAATACTTTATCGCCCTGTTATTCTCGCCCACCTACGCAGCGCCCCAGTTTGTTTAAAGAGACTCTTTAAGAGTTTTATATTGCAGTTTTCGACAATATCATTATGTTTACAATACCTTGACAATTTTCTCCTCCGCTGAACTCTTCTGGACAGGTACACCGAAAACCTTTACTTGTGAAACTAGCTTGGCAGGTGCCTCCATTTAAACATGGGCCGCTATCACAATGGTTCTAATCAATAGCAAATATAAAATGAAGTACGTTTTATCAAACCTATAACCAAAGTTGTCAAGATAACATCTCCAAACTCTGGAAGACGGATCACAAGCAAATTTCGTGTCTAACTGATAAGGAGATACAAGTGTCGTGGGCTAGTTACAACGTTCTGCGATACAAAACCCTCGCAATTCCAAATTACTTAAACTCTTAATTGAAATCACCTATTCTTCTTATCTTAAATTTTTGTCAACAGTAGAATATGCGTTTAAGTATTTTCTACTTTCATATCTTTTTTTTTAGCTTTAAAATACTTTAAAGGAATCACTATAAGCTTCAGTGAAGGACGATTAATTCTTAGGGTTTTTTATTTTCATTATTATTTTTTATCCTCTTTGCTTGAGATTCGTACAAGAACCTATAAGATGTGATTTAGCCGCCTGTTATTAAAGTACGCTTTGATCACCATGGTTACATGGAACATAACCAAGTCCACAAATGCATCCCTCGAAGATATAGAGCCTATCTCCACTCAGGTACCACAAAACAGACAAAAAAGATAAATCAAATGTGCTCGTTACCTCAATGGCAAGGTAAGTGAAACCTTGCTCATTAGCAAGACTTTTGTCTGTGGCATTGTTTAACTGACATATGTGTTTTCCTTGGATAAGTGGTCCCAGGTTGATGGACACGCAGTTGGGGTCCATATAACACAACACACGACAGCTCCCCTCGTTAGGCACATCCTCAGTCTTGATCAAATGATTCTTCATGATCTTATTCGGGATTGGTTCTTTGAACACGATATTGCGAAACTCGTCATCTGTTGAAAGCAAACAATTTTTTATTGTGGCTCTCTTCAAGATAAAAAGCGTTTTGAAACAAGGGCCATTTCTTATTCAAATTATTATATATTTTCCAAAAGTTTTGTATCCAACGTAGTTAAATTGAATCCTTACAGTTATCAAAACTACGAAACAATATGTAAAAGGTAACTTCAAAAATATAATATCAGTGATGGAGAGAGAGAAAAAACAAATCCCACCGAAAAAATGGCTTGGAATGACGATGGTCTGAAGACAGTGGGTTTTAGCTTAGGTTACAAGATTACAAGTAAAAAGTCTACAACAAGTTACTGGTATATCACAATTTTGAAATGAAAAAAAAAAAAAAAAGAGATACACTTCTAGCAACTAGGTACAGTTTGTCGAGACTGAATGCATGAAAAATTAATCTGCAGTAAAAAAGATATCTTCAGACAATAGAAGAAAAAGTAAAGAGATATTCTTACCCAAACAGCAACTACACCAAGACAAGAAAGTTTCAAACATGATGGAGACGATGAAGGCGATGGTTGTCATTTTGAGATACAACTGGAAATCTGACATAACACTGGACGCGTAACGCTTCTTTGCAGATACGCAACAGAAAGCTACTTCTAATGCAGAAGGTATTTCTATTTCTCACCCTTAAATATATTACTTTTTCTCAGGAATGCAGGGGGTGTATTATTCTAAACAGCAGGTACTTCAGCCGTAGACAGGATTCTGAACTAGTTGTATTTAACTAATATGTTTTTATTATGTTTGTATGTTTATTATGCTAATATATGTGCAACTAATATGTCTTTGCTGTTTAGTTTGTAACGACTGCCTTCTGCTGCTTCCACCGAAATGAATAAAAGTGTCACAACATGACAAGTTCTATCATGTTACGTGTTTCTCTTGATATGCTCTCTCGGGAAGTTAAATTAGTTTGAACTTTTAATGATACCTCCATCAGGTGTTGTTAGGGAGATAAAAGCAATTTATACTCACGTTATAGAAACGTAAATTACGGCGTTTGGAGTTTTCACAATCCTTTATTTGGTTCTTCTCTTGCTACTTTCCGGCTGGCAAAAAAAAACGAAAACGAAAAAAAGCTAGAGAGATGTCCGGGAAAAAGGTCGGACATACTGCAATTTGATAAATGGCGTGAGAGCTTTAGTTCAGCTCTATGTTTTGTACTCTGATAGAGCACGTTCTTTTAACCGATGACTGCGCGTTATATCTGAACTTTAAATTAAAGCAACAAATGATTCCCGTGCCATTGATTATAAATAATTTCCCAGTATCATGGTTTGCTTTTACTAATTTTCACCGAATAATGTAATTTCAGGTTCGAAAAGTCATGTAAAAGAAATTCAGAAAAATCGAAATTTCTTAACTTGATTTGTCACATGTGAATATGATTTTAAAAGTCTGTAAACTGGGTCCACCATTTTGTCACTAGAGTGGAATTGAAATAGTTCGAAATACTCTCCCAGCTCTGATTAACCAAGAGAAAGACTAGAGATTTATACCATAGCTATCTTTTTATTACTAGCAGTGTTACTTCATAAGTTTCTGAACGTAAAACCCTAAGCTGATTTCAACTCTGTAATAACTGAGTAAACAAAAGCAAGAATCATGAAATGACATGATATTTGAAAGCCACAGGAGATAACAGTCTTGATTTTTCCTCTCACAGTTGGTTCAGACACAGTTATTATTTTTACCACACTCCCTCTGCAGATTTTCAACGTTTTCCCAGAAACCGAGCAGTAATTTTCTTTGTGTCAATTAACGAACATAGCTACCGTTATCAGGAGCCTTACAAAAGGAATTCCTCAGAGACTGGGAGCTTTTCGGCACGCTTTCTTCAAACTTGCTTACTTTTATTATGTTTAGACTGAGAAACCGTTGGCATCCTCCATAAATTTCAATGAAATTCTTTCAAACTTTAAACCATTTCTGGTCAAGGAGCAGGTGTTAAGAACAAGGTTTAGAGAACATGTTTTGAAATAGAAACTTGACTTTAAGAAAGAAAAATAAATCTGAATACTGAAAGGGTAAAGAGTATCACTCTAAATTACCACCAACCAATAACCGAGAAATTTCAACTGATTAAGAATTTCATTTGTTTTCTCTCTTTCCTTCTTTTTCAAGGGGTGAGGGGGAGGTGATTGATACTAAATTGTTTTAGGAAATGACGACGAGGGAAAGGTTGATCGTCGGATAGTTGTAACTACGAGGAAATAAAAGAGATGAAGGAGTCAACTGAGCTCAAACATTTCGGAAATAAAAGTTAACTTTTATTCATGCTCCCGCTCAGCTCAAGTACAATTAAGTTGAAGTGCGTAATTTTTTCATATACAGTCTGTTTTGAGTTTAGAATTAAAGCATGCAATGTTTGTTTATACAGAATTTCTTGATCTCAAAGATTTGAAGATAAACAGTGAGCTGCCATAAACCTAAGTACGTTTAGACATTAAAGCTGAAACTTATTTTATCGTTGTATCGCTTTTTAACCAAAACTCATAATTAAGAGCTGTCCTTTCAGAAACTTTCAAACATTTCTGAAATTGCGCAAATAAAATTTTTTTCCACAACACCTTTCCATTTACATTCCAGATATTGAAAGGATGCTAATTTTGGAGACACGCATGATACACGACAAGCATATTTTAAACTCAGTGTTCCGACTGCGTCATACCAGAGTGAAATCTTTTAGGATAAGATGGAAGACGCCAACTTTTTGTTGACATGCAACAAATCTTGTGTCTTTGCGTCATAGTTAGTGCGCAATGATCGCAAGGAACACAGATGGGTTTCAACCTACCTTTGAAAAGTTGTGTCAGAAATTGTTTTAGGATCGTTAAAAATTGATGTCAAAACTTTATAAACTAGGGAAAGCAATAATGCTTGCTTACCTGTGTAGAAACAACAAAAAAATTAAAAAAAGAACAAACCTAAATAAAAGGGAACGGGAATGATAAATTTAGGTGAAGAAGATTAAAATGAATCTCAGATGATAAACTTGACTAACTTTAGATCATGTGCAAGTTACCAGCTTTTAGTGTGGTTGAAACCCCCCCATAATTAGTCCAATGAGATACAAAAACACCAAAACAAGATCAGTTAACCCAAAACAAATGAGGATGAGGAAGGATGGAGAGGATCGACATAGATTTTAAAACAGTGATAAGCTTGAAACAGCCGTCTTAAATAATATGCAAAATTAGCTTTAGCGTCAAGAAAACCACAAAATATGAGTTTGGTATGACGGGAAAAAAACAATATCGAAGAGAATTTGCCAAAAGCGAACGGGTATTGCCAAGGATGGAGAAGATTTAAATGGATTGGAAATAGCTAACTTGAAAAATTGATGCAAATATTATAGATACTTACATCATAACCATGCCTCTTTGAAGCATATTTGAAGGACTGAGTCAGTCCGCCTAATCTCACTGATTGCAAAAGAAGATTAAAATAGTCATGACCAAACAATGATCATAAAAGCCGTTTGATGGCAGCCTCTACGAAGTCTTTGTTTCTTAGCGACTTAACTCGAGACTTGCGATATGACTCGAACAAGCATCGACCTTGTCGTTTGATTGTAACATTATTTGTTCAACGTTCACGCAAATGACAGACTGTAATATTAGGCATTTGCTGTCTGCTTTTTGACTGCTCATGCAAAAATGTTAACGGATGCCATAAATTGGAGATATTTTGCTATTTTTTTCTTAATTTCATCCTCTTTCGGTATCAATCAATCAGAGATTGGCTTTCATCTTCTGTGTTGTGATACACGTCACTGCCAAAATCAAAGCTATCTACTATTATTTTCCATAAGACTTGGGTACAAGTTTTGTAATCAAACAGAGAAGGTCTGTCTTCACTCTGTTTTGAGTGAAAGCGTTTGCTGTGTTCAGAAAAGTGTAAGACATGATCTGTGATACGTAAAGAGGTACTTCAGTCCAACTCAGACGAATCGCAGTCTTATGGTCATCTAAGTGCTTTATTTTCCACCTCTGGTTTTATTTGGTTTAAAATCGCTAACAATACTGAATAAAACCATGTGCTGTGTTCGAAAACACTTCAGGACAAAATCAGTGCTACTTAAGAGATAACTACTAATCAGCAGCTTAAAAGTCTCGAAGTCTTATTTTCATCTGAGAGCTCTTCAATGAATAATGATAACCTTTAAAACCTTCCCAAATAACGCCTTCGCCGTAATAAGAGTTAGGCCCACGTATGTAAGGACCATTCAAAAAAGTCTTGTGACACCACTTAAACCACCAGCCACCATGGTACTCAAGGGCACAGTTCCCAGTGGATTTGAAATCGTTGTCTTCATCCGGAGTAGAAAATGGCCAGCCACGATGGTAAGAGAAGGAGTCACCAGCGGTTCCTGAGAAATTTACCAAAGCAAAAACCAGGAAAGTATTTAAAAGTTATACTCTCTTCAGTGGCGGATCCAGACCTTGCGCTAAGGAAGGGGGGGGAGGGGGAGGTTTTCTGTCGCTTGGACTGCCGGCTTTTCTTCCCTCTGCGATTCCTTTTTTTTTTTTTTTTTTTTAACCCAAAATAAGGAAGGGAGAAGTGGATTGGATCCCCCGGGCCTCTTCCCTAGATCCGCCACTGCTCTTGCAAGAGTAGGTTTAATTGCTGCATATCTGTTATTCTGGGCCGGGTTGTTCGAAAAGGGGTTGACTTTAATCCTGGTTTAAAAGTTAACCTTGGATTTAATTTCTCATCTAGAAGAGCGCGTACAGGAGCCAAGGTTTTGTTGGGTTTTATCTCAGTATGACTCAAAACTAACAGGGAAAAATGCAAACAAATAAATCCCTTTGCATAGCTATAAAACTGAATTGAAAATTCACACTAACCCCGTGTTAGGTAAAGCTTGTTTTAAAAAACCAGGCCCTGTATAATAACGTTTAAGTTTTTACCTTTCCTTCCGCGCTTATGAAGTCTTTTCTGCATCCACCCTTGTTTGGGATTGATTTGCCGCAAAAAATATGTATATAATTACC